TGTTATTTATTTAAACTCAGAGCAACGCTGTTTGTTTCCCGCGAAAATACAAAGAGGGAGGAACTAAACCGCCCCTCCAGACGCCCCTAAACCGTAAGGCTCTTAGCTTTTATTATCAGTAGTTACTACTCTTATTTTACTTTTACCATAGTTACTTCGATTACACAATGACCACAAAATCAGTCCCTCCTTCCACGAGACCTAGTCCCAGGGCTGAAGATCCCAATCTCCTGCCTGTTGAACTTGATCCTCTGCGCCTCCTCCCTGGAAATCGCGAAGGCGTTGGCGATCACGTCCCGGGGAATCGCCCTGATCGCTGATGCTCGGCCAGCAATCTGGTTGATCTTGGCCTGATCGTTGGTCTTGAAGGAAATCCACTCAAGCCCATCGTTGCCGGCTCTCTTGATCACGGCGAAGTTCTGCGGCGCAGTGATGATCTGCCCTTCCTGCACCTGCCCGTCGAACACGCTCTCCCCGTTCTCGTTCACGATCTGGATCTGCCCGCTTCCCCTGGTTATGTAGTTGATGCTGTGTGCGTTCATGTTCCAGTGCGGCGTCATGATCGCGTTCTGCAGGAACATTGACTTCAATTAACCACCGTCGGATGAAATTGAAAGAAAGAAAAGGTTGTGAATTTTGGGAGGATGATTAGATTTACCCTGTAGAGGAATCCCTTTTGGGCGCTGAGCTGGATGTATTGTAGGATGGGGAGGTTAAAGCTGTTGATGGTGGTGAGGCGGCCGGCGCGTGGGTTGTATATGTCGGCGCGTGACGGATCGTTGATGTTGTGCTTCAACCTGGCGGTGCAGAAGGTTTCCTCAATGCCGTTGGCAGTCCAGCGGCCGCTTCTTCCTCCGCGGGAAGAGGATTCCCTCTCTTCCTCGCTGAATTCGGCGCTCAGGAACTGGAGCTGTTCCTCGACCCTGACGATGATTCCCCTGTTGTCGTTCTCGTTCTTGATCCTCCTCGCCAGGTCGGTGTCGATGTTGAATGCCTCGGCAAGGAACTGCTCGTCGAAGGCCTGGAAGATGTTGCCGGAGCGCTGTTCCTGGCTGCCGCTTCCACCGCCGCCTCTTCGCCTCTCGCTTCCCTGGTACAGGTGGCTCGCTGGCTGTCCCCTCTGCCCTTGGATCTCTCTCTGCGGGTTCCCTGCCAGGAAGAATTTCTGGAAAAAAAAACCCCCAAAACAGAAGTTCAGAACCTCATCAATTGTCCAAATGTGGTTGAAATGACTTGATTAATCTATCAATCAATTAATTACCCTGAAGTTCTGGTCGAGCTGGTTTTGGAAGTTGCTGGTGTCCATGATCTGAACAAGGACGAGAGGAGATTGAGCATCGTTGTAGAACCAGTCCGCGACTCCTGCTGGGATGGCGATGATATCGCCTTGTCGGATCTTTCGGATCTTCTGATGTTGGTCCTTGGATCCTTGTCTCGGGTCCTGGGATTGTGACTCCTGCTCGGATTGGTAAGTCTCGGGGCAACCCGGAATCGCCGCACTGTGATACCCTCGCCCTGCATGCGCCATGCAAAAACAGAGTCAAAACAGAGCAAAAACAGAGTAAAAACAGAGGAAGAGGGGGAAATTGGGTTTGCCTTGGTCAACGTAGATGAGCTTGGGGGCATTGGAGTAAGCGGGCAAGAGGAGACCCCTCTGCTCGATGGTGTGGCGGATAGCGGCGACGCCGGCGCATCGGAACTGGTCGTCGTTCTCGTCCCAGATCTCGGTGGTGCCGGCCTCGGAAGTGATCCTGCGGTCGGGCTCCTGGGCGTTGATGCGGCGGATTTGGCACTCGTTCTGCTGCTGGGACTTGCGGAGGCTGTGCCGGGCCCTGGACCCCCAGATTTGGGAGGTATCGAGTTGGGCCGAGCAGGCTTGGAGGAGGAGGAGGGAGCAGAGCGCTAGAGAGAGCAAGGAAGCGGACGCCATCTTGCTAAGAGGGAAAAGGAGTAGTGATGGAACTGCGATGGGATGGAATTGGAGCGGGGATGGTGGTGGGTATTTATAGATGGAAACTGGGTGTGATGAAGTGCGGAAAGGAGAGGTGGGGTTGCTGGTTTTGAGACGTGGCGGGGCGAATTGGAGAAGGTTTGGATAGTTTCTGCATGGCGATTTGTCGTGTAGATATCAGCTCTTGGTTACACATATTGCTGTGGTGTTGGCGACGTGGTGTTAGGTCTCTGCAACAATTTTTTTTTGCTTCTAGAGTTGTAGTACTTCAGCGGATCATTCCGGGCATATTCGCTTTTCGATCGGGACGGCATGCAAATTAACCATGGAGCTAGGATGAACCGAGCAGTGAAGGGGTCTAAGTTACTGCAATGCGTGGAGCTAGGATGAACTGCTAATTGTGCTAAAACAAGGCTGAAAATGGCAGAAATCAAGCAATCAATGTCATGCACAGAGCTTAACTGCTAAAGTGGAATTTAAGATATTGGTCAGCATTTGAGTCGAATGATCACAATCAGCTTCCCCCTGCCGAGCTGCATGCAAGCTTCTAGTTGAAGTGGGTTTAAGTTGAAGCTTAGAATCAGTCTAAGATACATATCTCCGTTTTAATCAGACAAAAAGAGGTGAAGTTTTGCTTTTACACCAGCAAAAGGAGTTTTGGCTGTCTAGCTAGCTAGCTAGCTATACCGTTGTCTAATCTTGTCCAAAATCATGTAGGAGTACGTTGAAGATGAATGCAAGATGAGAAGTATAGTTTGGTGCCAGCCCTAAATTCTTGTAGTTGATGAATATTGCCTCCCCCCATGCATCTCATTTTTCCCCGGGGGAAGGCTGAAGTATGTACACATTGAAGAATACCAAACATATCAGTACCTAATTTAGATCAAAATTATTACATTAGCTGGAAGAAAACATGACTTTTTTCACTCTCTGACACTAAAACAATTTGCACAAATACACCCTATTTACTGACCCCATACCATTCCAATGTATTTTTGTTATGTGGCTCCTTGTAATAAATTTATAATAATTCTATTAGATGAATTTATCTATGCGAGATGATTGTTATGATTTTAGTAATTATATAAATCTCTGATTGATGCAGTAACGAGATATTTTTCTCGCGTACTCATAATGTTATGTTATATTGGTTAACCTGGTTAACCAATTATCAAATCGATCAAAACTTAGTTTGGTTATATTAATTTGTTATGTTGTATTAATTTGGTCGGTTTGATTATGATATCTTATTCCATGATTAATATAATGTAGTCTTAATTGATTTGGTATATCATGACAATAATTTGAATACCGCTTAATTAGTGGGGGAGGCACACAAATTTGGGCACATTTTCTTGTTGGATTTGAAAATGAGAATTTTTTAAATTTTGGATACTTTTGAATTTATAATGAATTTATTGCATTATATATTTGGTAGAGTTCATGATTTGTTTAGTTGATTTTTTACCATGAAATTGAAAGAGTTCTCTAAGCCATCGGGCACTCCATATACTTCTTCCTCTATTCCTTCCTAATTCTAACTTTAATTCCTCTGGCCTCTATCCTGACATTGGGACCTTGTTTGTGTCTAGCTTTTCTAGGCGTCGCTTAAGCATGTCTAGGTATTAGAAGTAAAATTAACAATTTTTCTATATATATAATAAATGAAATTAACAATTTACAAGACTAAATAATATTTAGTTCAAATGATTAATAACTTAACACTAAATAGCTAATAGTTTCATATTATCATAACAGCTCATAAAAGTTATTGTGTTATTGAAAAGATTGATATAGATCGATGATTGAATTTGTAGGTGATGTTGATTCCCGGCCCTTTAGTATGGACTACCGCAAACTCCCTCTAATTATTCCTAACTAAGCATTATCTAAATGAACTCATAAACAAAAAGAACCCAAAAGCCGATGAACACAACCAGATGCCCGTCTCAGTTCATTCTAACTCGGGCTTTCATCGATCACCATCATAACTCTGCCGCTCTCCCGGCGGCAAGTCCATGTCCACGTGGCCGTGGTGATAAAAGACTTATGTGTAAGCAAGCTAAAGACCCCCAACTCCCCAAGCCATGCAAAACTTCACTACAAGACAAAATTCCATGCAGAAAAAACACCATCCCATCATCTTTCATCCCCCCTTAACTCCACACAGAACCCATTCGCCACATATCCCCCACACATCCAAAAGAAATCAAACTGAAATTTGCTTTCCATTTTCAAAACCAGCGCCATGCAGTATATCTCTATTAATGCAAGCAGGGGCGGAGGGAGAGTGTTAAAAGGGTGGGTCCCGTGACCCACCCTTAATCGGAGAAAAAATATTAAATTAAGTATAATAGTTAATCGGGTATGAAAAATAACACTTGTTAAATGAGAATGGTTGAACTTTTAGATGTATGATGTTTGATTTATAAGTTGCATATCGGCATGCTCAATATTTTTATAACGAGCTTTCTACAAATGGCAATGGTGCATATGATCTGCCCAAAATTAAAGATGTACTTATTCAATATCTACCACATATTTCCACCAAATCATAGCTAGTTTGTAAAAATAATTTTATTTCAATTAGGGGTAGGGAGAGTGTAACGGGTGGCTCCTAAGAAAAGAGTAAATTAGTATAATAGTTCGTTGAGAATGAAATTTAGCCATTTAGGGCATTTCTAATTGAAAATGGTTGACCGAGAGATCATGCGTTCGAATCTTAACGACCCCATTTGTTCAGCACTTGATATTCAAATTTGCAAAAACTTTAACCACGTATAAATTGGTTTTTGTTAGTAGGAAGTGTTAGTAAATATTAAATAGTTTAAGATTCATAATTAAATCTCTCCCAACAACTCGATTTGTTGATGCTAAACGGTCTTGACAAAGAGCACCATTCAAAAGCAAATATCTAACTAAATTATCAATATTTTTTTCGATAATTAATTATGAATAATTTTTCGATACATACAGAGTGATATTTTTTATAGTCATATATTTAATTTACCAAATTTTTGTAAATAAATAATTATATCATGAATGATTTAATCATTTAACAAAATTATTTTATCATATATATTTTTTTCTAAATGGACCCACCCTCCATAAAATCCTGCCTACTCCCCTGATGTAAGAGCTTTTCTCGGCATGGAGGAGACGTTCTGCACCGACAGGGTGAAGCAGAACATCAACGACCCCTCACGCGCCGACGTGTACAACTCGTGAGCGAGGCGGCTCACCGGCGTCAACAGCCACAACCTCCCCGTCCTCCGCTTCCTCCGCCTCAGCGCCCAGAAGGGACACCTGTACCGGGTCGCCATCATGGCGCCGCACTGGAACGTGAACGCCCACATCGTCGCGTACATCACGCACGCGCGGGAGCGGGCGCGTGCATATCATAGACACAATACACCACTAAACCGCATTTCATTAGAAAATTAAATACTGTAAAAAAATATAATTTTTTTTACAATATCATATATTTTACACGTCGATCTTATAAATTTTAATATAGTGAATTCTTCAATAATGGAGTCTACATCCATACTAAATATCATACTCTCTTTAAGATAAAATAGTTAACCAATTGGCGAGAAATTCATCGTCCATTTTGTTGCACAAATAAATTTTCACCTATTTCATTGTTGAAAAGGTTCTCTCTATAGTAGATGTTGGAACGAACAATCTCAACACTAGACAAATCAATCGATTAATCAATATATATTTCTTTAGACAAGAATCATAGGAGTTAGAATTTTCAGGCTAAATTTAGAGTTGTGATTTGAATATGTTCATCTAAACCATTTTTCTAATTACACACAATCTTATTATAAAATAGTGTTATAGGTATAATATGCCTAATAATTCCACTTTAGAATTTTTGGTTCTTTTGTATAGCCAAATAATTCTAATCATTTCACTTTGACGAGATCCAGAGAAATAAAACAGAGGACAAAACTGACATTTTCCCTCCCATTTTGTCGATGTTGGGTCGTCTAAATCTCGGTTCAACCATGATTCATGATTTTTTCAATGTAAATTTTAACAGAGGGGCATGTTTGATAATTTTTACAAAGTACAGGGGCATGTTTGATGTAAAAATAGTAGAGGGGCATGTTTGATAAAACGTCATAGTAGAGGGACATATTATACTTATAACCCTATAAAATAATACTAGGCCGAATGGCTAAAACTGATAAACTCATATGGGTTATACTAGCTCCGAAACTAGAGTAGGACTGGGCCGTGGCCCGGTGTGGCCACCCCTAGATCCGCTACTGCGAGGGAGGAGGTCAGGAGGCTCAAGTTTAATAGGGACGAAGTTATGCCTTTAAGCCCCTGACTCTCGTTCCCAATTCATAGCGTATAATCTGCAGGGGACGAGAAAGGCGGGGACGAAGTTTGAAAAATGTAACTTTTGACGTAGAAAAAGAATGGAGAGTTGTTGAAGTTTAGAATAAACGAATCCCCCAACCCACTACTATTGCGAGGGGAGGGAGGATCGGGTTACTAGCTAGGGGTACTTATAATTACGAGTTGACTAGGTTAAACTCAATTGGTTGTATAGACAATTAAAAGAATGGGTAAAAATCTCTTAATTAACGGGTTTAGTTAAACAAAATATTATTGATAAACAGATAAGCCTTAACAATCAAGGGTTTATTTTTCGGTTTATTATGATTGAATCCGTTAAAGACTTATTGATTTTCAGTTAACCCAAAAATCAATAAGCTCTTAACAGTTTCATCTCTGGTTTTGACCAATTGACTAATTCATATTTCAGTTTCTAATGATTTTTCGGTTTGGTTAATCGATTTGGCTAATACTTATGTTTCAAAAAATTTGACTAATAAGTTGAAAAGTTTGATGGGTTGGGTAATAAAAATTGTATTCACTATATGTTATATTCTCTGTAATGCTAGAATTGTATTTACTAAAAAAAAATATCAAACTAGTCCGTTTGATTGGATCAACCACCTATTTATCTAGTTTAATCAGCTGCAATAGGACCATTAATCGCCTTGTATGTTTGATGAAAGTGTCTTAGGTAAAAAAAAAAAAAAAAAAAACCAAACTAGTTCATATTCACCCGCGCCATAGTGAATGGGCTTTCTATTTGCTTAGGTTGTTTGGGCTGGATTACTCTATCCCCAACTCCGGTGTGCGTTTAAGGGTTCAGCCCGTAAGTCGATCTTCCCCATATTTTTGTCCAATTCCTAACTCGATCGCGTAAGGCCCAATCCGCCACCCTATAGACAAAATTATTCATTTTTGTTTTTTTTTTCAACCTAGAATTAGGCCTGCAAACGAGTCGAGTCGAGTTTTTGCTTAGCTTGAGCTCTGCTCGTTTATAAAATTTTCAGCTCGAGCAAGCTCGATTAAAAATAATCCAGCTCGAAGTCGACTTGGTAGAGCTCGGTAAATGCTCATTAACAAAACTTGTCAATCTGAATACAAGCTCGGCTCAAGATAAGCTCGATTTGAAATCATTCTTGTTGAAAAATGTGTACACATAAAGAATCTAAATGATAAAAAGAACACTAAAAACCATAAATAATATCTAACTTTCATACACATCCGTATTAACAAGGTAATTTTCATGTTCATAAGAGTACTAATTAATCATTTCACAAGCTCTAAATAAGCCAGCTCGCGAGTTTAGCTCAACAAGTCACTGACTCAACCTAGCTCACGAGCTTATCAAGATGAGCAGGGTCTAGCTCAAACTAGGCTCGTTTACTAACGCGTCGGCTCGCGAGCCAGTTTGTTAAATAACAAGCCGAGTGGCGTACGAGTTTTTCCCGATTCGAACGCCGAGTTGCTCGCGAGCGGCTTGACTCATTTGCAGCCCTACCTGGAATAGATGATTCTTCCATCTAGTCTACCACCCAATTAAGTGTGAATTCCTAAACCAGTAAACTAATACTAAGACAGCAAAAAAATTGAAAGTAACAAAACTAACAAACGACCCAGTTGCTTAATCGCTAATTAATTCCATTCCATGCTTCATAAGATAATAAAAGCGAACCAAAGACGGCCTTTTTGGTTTGGATTGGAGGCGCGGCGGAGGGTTGAAACTTGAACGAGAAGAGGAAATAAAGGGCTTTTTTTCTTTTTCCATTTGGCAGGCAGCGCAACGTTGAAGATGGAAGCTGTAAAGTAAAAGGCAAGTGGAGACGGATAGCCATGCACGGACAGACCAGCCATTGCTTTTTCTATTACTAGCATCAACAACGAAAAAGAAAAAGAGGCAGCAAGGAAGAAAGTGGCCGGCCGGCTAGGGGCGTGTTTCTTTACAAGTTGGAAAGCATAATAGACAGAGACAGGGAAAGATGGAAAGGGGAAGGGGAAAGAAAGAGCGCCTGTGCTTCTGTTCTTCTGCCGTCCTCCCACTGATATTCCGTACGCTGAGACTTTTCCAAAAGGAAAATATTATTGAAGGTTGTACCGAAAAGTTTAGCGGTAGAAAGTTTGGAATGAAATTGTAGTTTAATTATGGTTCAATCGTTTTATATTATTAAAAAACATATAATGATTTAAGTTATGATAGATAAGTGGTATTTCCAACCAAGCGGTCTACATGGTATCATTTTGATTTTGCAAAAAAAAAAAAAAAACTTTAATTTGAAGGAACTTCCAGATTAATTTGGTGTTTCAATACCCGACATCAGCTACCTGATGACATGAGGTGCGTAATTTGATTTTGCATAAATTTGGTGTTTTCCAAAATTTCAGGTTTTGGACTAATTTAAGGATCCAAGTCCAATGATATTTTCTAAATTTCTTAATATGGTTTTACATGCTTTGTTATAATTTTGAATTTAAAAAATATTGGCCTTTCAAATTGACAGTCAATCCACGAGTCTGTCAGCTGATTGACCAATTATTTTGATAGTTCGGACATTTTAGGGATTTCGAAAAATTCGAGCCTAGATAGTTTTTTATTTATATAAACTTCGATGTATCAACCCTATTTTTATTGATTGCTTCCGCTGATGATGATATGACATATTGACTAACCGTCAAAATTATTGACCATCCAAAAAATTAATGATCAACTCATAAATCGTGTCAAATTAATCCAATTTATTTTTCAATTTTGTACGTAGTAGAGATTTAAATTTTTTTTGGACAAAAAGTAGTTTAAGTTAATTACAGGAACCAAACAGTTAGGAAGCAAAACAAAATCAATATTATTCCCTTCCTTTGGCATTCTGCAAGGAGCCTAGCTAAAAGGACAGCTGTTGTCGGGATTTTGGTACGAGTCTTTTTAATCACCTTACAAAGTTTTAACCCGTACGTACTAGCTAATTAAGCTGTTGGTTGCACAATGATTGATACGTTCTTCACAAAAGTGCTTTAATGAGTTCTTTCTGGTAAGCCTTCGTTGTCATGTAGCGAATCTGTAATAATCAAAGCTCAAGCTAGTGTGTAATTTCATCTGATTGAACTCGTCGGCCGTTTAACTAACATCTCTCACTGTCTTTTCTTTTGTATTCTCTTTAAAACGAAGGCCAACTCATTTATCAAAACGATCAAAAGAAAAAAAAAAAAAACTGAAACAATAAGGAAGCTAAGTTAGACCTTGAATTGACCAGAGTTTGGGACATGGTAATATACCATAACCCTTAAAAATTAAAATCTAGGTAATAGTTCTATAAATCTCACACACTAAGATCAACTTAATTAGAAACAACAATCGACGGTTATGATTAGTCGGAATATATGCAACACATTACATGTACAATTTTAGAGTTTGGGGTCTATGATTTAGATAACTAACACATAAAGTTCGGCTTAATTGCAAGTTTGGTCACTCGAATTGCTACAAAATTTCATGTTTGGTCACTCGAATTGATTTTTTCCATTCGTAGTCACTTAAATTAGTTGAACAGTCCAACTTTGGTCACTCTCCGTTAACCTCCGTCAAACTCCGTTAGTACCATCAGTCAACTGCTGACGTGGCTAACAGAGGTGCTTAGTCATCCTATTTTAACAAAAAAAAAAAAAACATGCACATCATTAACCCCTCAATATTTTAAAAGTCCACCCAAACCCAATCAACCCCTGACCCGAACCCCTGAACCAACCCATTCACCTGTTCCCCCTCTCCTTCCCCCCTCTTCTTTCCCTGCCGATCTCATCATCTCGGGCCTCGAATCGGTGCCACAGATCGGCTTCAGGGCTACCGCGTTCCCCTGCGGCGGGCTCGCCATCGGTGTTTGCTTCTTCCACAAGATCGTAGATGGCCCCACCTTGGCCGATTTCGTGAAACTCTGGTCCGCCGTCGCAAGGAGCGAGGAGAAAACGGCGGCTGCAGCAGTAGGCGGCAGCGCGTACGCTCACGATCTCGCTGCCACGTCACTACTGCCGCTGCGACACGACGACGTTGCCCCATCCCCAAAAGATTTCGTGGGCGAACAAGGGAAGATCGTGACGAGGAGACTCGCGTTTGACGAAGAAGCGATTCACGCGCTGAAAGCCATAGCGAAGAGCGATCAGATACCCAACCCAAGCCGGAGCGAGGCAGTTGGTGGGTTTTTGTGGAAGCACGTGATGAGCGCAGCCGCCAGAGCAGCGTCACCCGACGGGTCAAACCCCCTCTTCTTCCCCAGCTCCGAGATCCC